TCTATCAGGATCTCATAATTGCACACTTACATATTATAATAATAGTCTCTTTTACTCTATTGTTGTGCATTTCAAAGGATGCTTTAAAGTTTTTTTTTTCTCTTATTGTACATACATATAAATTTGTATTACGTATAAATAAAAAGTAAGATGGAAAAACGCTCTTAATCACGTCATATTCTTTTTGAAAATAAATTTTCTCACCATTATGCAAAATAAATTGAATACGTTTTTTCATAATTTATGTACGAGTAATGTACTATATTTACTATTTGTAAGAAATTTTTTTATTTTAATTGTTGCTTTTTTAAGTACAGAACTTGTATTTGTAAAGCCTTAGACGTAAATGAAGAAACCGTATACTACATATTTTAAAAGAGAAACAGGCTTATTTAAGACGAAACTTTTATATTACTGTCACTTTTAATATTAATTGGAGAAATGTTGTTTCATGCCAGGTTTAAAAGTCCTCCAAAATTCATTACCGTCCAAACAACACAATCAAATTTATTTTTGTTTAATTTAGTGAATATACGAGTACTCCCGAAACCAGTGCACATAATAATGTAATTTCAATAAAATTTTCGATTTAAATGAGATTCCCAAAACGTAACACTCTGTTTTGATAATTATATTTTTTATAAAAACACTATCATTAAAGCACGTAATTTCTTGTGGTATCATTTAAAAAAGGACATTTAGCTTAAATTTTACCTTAGGTGACTACTTTATGGATTGTTCAAAATAAAAGGAGAATAACACAAATGAAGACGAAAAGTATACATTCATAAAAAAAAAATAAAATAAAAATTTTGCCTTTTTTTTTTGTTTTTTATATGTATAGTTTAAGGGGTAATGGTTCGTAATGAGATTATAGTCTTATTAGAAACCAAAAATTCTTAGAAAAGTTTCTTTTATATTAATATTCTCATTTAAATTTCTTATATAATATATTATATATTATAATGTCCGTGTAGCTGTATATTAATACATTCTTCACAAAAATTGTACAATGGCTTCGTATACGAGTATATGTATATATAGGCGTAAATAAAAATTTAGTGAAATTTTTATTTCATATATTTAGATATAAATTATTTTTATAGAGAATATATTATATGAAATATATATATATATTGACTTTCTCACACATATCTACATATTACATTCTATGTGAAACGAATTCTATAATGCTATATGCATAAATAATTGTTTAAGTATACTGTGTATACAAATTGCGTATATGAAAATGACTAGAAACAGTGATGCTACTTTTACATCTTTTTAGTAAGTCTACACTTTGAATTTTCATATTGCAAATAATTTAAATACTACAAAAAATCTTAAAAAGTGAAGAAACTGAAACTTTCTGTTCAGAATTTTAATTTTTTATAAACGTGTAACCACATTCGAAGTATTCGTGTACTGTAGATTTCAGAATCATATTTTGTCCTTTTTCTGGTTTAAATGCAGGAATTTAAACCAGATTATGAAAGACTTGGATTTGAATGAGGATATGGAGATTCAGCGTCCTAAGGGCCTGATCTTACCATCTTACATTGCCTGCCTGTCCTAAGTTTTTCAATTTTTTTATCAGTTTTTCTCATAGAGTTTACAACTCTGATATTTTTTTAAAAATTAAAACAAAAAATCAGCTTTAAATACTTTTTATAGAAAATATAATGATAACTTATAATAATAATCATAACAATAATAATAATGATAGTGGTAATAATATCGTATAATATGTAATAAAGGTTCATGAGAGCTATTAAATGTTGTGCAAAAAGTAATCCTTAAGTAAGCTACTAGGTACAATTAACATCTTATAATAGCCATTTTATATGAGCTATTTAAAAATTTTTTTTCTTTGTTTCTTTTCTTTTTTCTCTATATATAGTTTACTTTTATTATTCAAAAATATTCTTTTGTATCTATTTACATACATATACATTAAGAATAATATTATACATGTACATATAATATATACATACACAAATATTGTATAATGAACGTATATACTGGGTAATATTTATGGTCTATGAACATTTTGAGAATATTTACTTTTATATTTAAGACAAAGAAAAAGGAACATTTTTGTTCCTTTGCATAATTTTTTTATAAAATTTGAACGGAATTTTTTAAGCACATGCTTGGTGTATATGCAATATACGTCCCGCATAAAATTTAGGTAGAAATGTAGAATATAGATCATAATATTATTATGTATACGTACGTGCAATTTTCTATAATAAAAGCTAAATAATATTGTCTTGTCAAAATATTAAATTTAAATTATTATCTTAATATTATAGAGGTAATTCTAAAAGAATATTTTTCATGTATTAAGATTACGTACACATGCAAAATGTACACGCACATAATAAATTTATTTTAATTTTTATATTAAATATAACATAATCCTTTGAGAATATTGCACAAAATTATTTTTCATTATACAAAGAATAAATATGTATTCTGTTTATTTCTAATAAAATTTTCTTATATCATTAAAAATAAATTACTTTTGTTTCGTGAAAAATGTTTTGATTATTATGTTCATACTATTATAATTAAAAATATTCAATAAATTTGACAAATTTTCCATAAATATTTTTTTTTTCAGCGAACTTAAGTACTATTAAGGAGCTAAGGATGAGAATTTATTTAAGCAAAATCAAAATTGTACTGAAATTTTCTTGTATTTAAATTTTGAAATTTAAAATGAATTATTATGTAACCATAAGAATTTCTTTTAACACTAAAAGTACATGTTTATAACTTAATGCGTGCTTCAATATTTAAGTTTTTCGTCTTCGAATATTATTCTTACAAAATCAATTTAATTTCAAAGATATTTGAATCTTATAACATGAGAAATTTATTCTTGATTCAAAAATACAAAATATTAAAAGTACAACATCATTCTACGTGACATTTTGCTACAAAAGCCTCTAAATCTGATCATTATATAACTGCCCTACATTTTCTTTTTATGTATTTTTAAATATTAAATTTAGTAACTTTTAAAATTTAGTAAAGTCCATTATATATATCCTAGATATATATACAACTTAAAATCTTAAAATAGAAAACTCTAACAGGAAATTAAAAACTTTATAAATATTTTGCCTTCATTTTTGCTTCATTACATGTATCTGGAAAAGGTGAATTAATGTATCTGGAATCATTTAAAATAAAATGAGGTTTATAATAATTTATAAATACATAAAAGTAAACAAATGTACATATGTATGTATTTTATCATATGATTATATTATTATTTTATAGATTAAATTTATACTTACATAGGTTATACTTACATAGAGTTTAATAATATTAATATTATTGGTTTGCGGTTGATATCAAAACGGAAATTATATTTTTTTTTTCATAAAATAAGACAAAATGAAAGAGTCATTAAAAAAATTTTCCATAACAAAATATAATATATATATATATATATATATATATATATATATATTATTATGTAATATAAATGCCCTCTTCTATACCTTCAGATACTTAAAGAACTTTTGATTCTTATTTAATTTTCAATTATCCTATAGATAATATTAATATTAAAGGAATCTGTTTAAAACATAATTTGTTTACTCTTAAAACATAATTTGTTTACTCTTACATAAATTATAAAATATAAGAATGAATTACATACACTTTATACAAATGTACATGCATGTATTTTTATTTGTGATATTTATATAATTTTAAATTGGATTTATACAAAAATAAATAAATCTTAAACAGAATAGATTTTCAATAATAAAAATAATGTTAATTACATTTTTTAGTTTAATGTGTAGACACATAACATAATACGAAATTTCGCCAAGAAATAATGAAAATTACTATACCTATAGCATTTTTTTATAATAAAAGCTTGAAAAAATCCACAATTCGGTTTATATTTGTCATACTTGTGGTAATCGAAGAGACATGACTACATACATATTGTATATAAGAATTAGAAAAATGGAATTATATCAAAAAAGTAAATAAATACTATAATATTAGTAAATATATGTAAATATAAAAAAAATTATATGCTTCCATTATATCTCCAAGTTCCGATGCTGCTAATATAAATTCGTTGAAATTCTTTTATATTTCGAAGCTCCGAAGCTTCTATTATAAATTCGTTGAAATTCTTTCAGTATTTATTTATTTTGTTTCGCTCATTTTCACTACTATACAACGTTTTAATAATAACGCGTTGTCAATATATGTAAGTAATTTGGTATATTATTTTGGTACCTGTTCAATACTTTAAAAAATATATTATTTTGTTTTCTGTTTGTTTTACATAAAAATCTTCATTGTTTAACTCTTCTAACTATGGGTACAAGTATTATTTGTGTTGATCAAACAAAAGAATTAATACGTACTTGTACTATGACTGTTGTAATAGGATTCCAATTTGAAATTTATATTCTATCGACTATATTTAAAGAATTTTTGTCGCCTTTGAAAAAAGGCACTTCTAGGCACATAAAAAAATAAAGCAAAACCTGTTATCTATGTACATATACTTATGTACAACAGTTGTTTTAATTATGTTATCAAATATTCTCCCATAACACCTTATTACGCATATAGTGCATTGCAAATTCTGTTTATCATGTTTTTTCCGTTTTTTGTACAAAATAATTTTTTATATTTTATTGCGTTTAAAATAAATACGAAATTCAATCCAACTAAAATAAGTTAAGTTTCATTTATACTATATTTAATTTGCAAAAATCGCAAAATTAAAAGCAAACGAAAAATGAAAACGTTGATAGATATATAAAATTTGTATATAAAAATATGACTCATTACATTACTACTAAACACTTGAAGGGAGCAAGTCGTATTAAAGCAAGAGAGTATAACAAAATATGAGAAAATAAAAACAAAACAAGTTTTTTTTAACCTTTTTATTACCTTGATATTCAAAATTCTTAGTAAACTATAGTTAGTTTTGAAACTGATTTCAAGTCAACAAGAACACCAACCAAGTCAAAAGATTAATTTCAGATTTTTAAAAAAATGTTAAGAATTCTCACTTTAGGACTTTTCATGACGTCTTGCTTTTGCAACATAGTAATGTTTTGCACATTAGTATAAATAGAAATTTGTATATTATAAATGATATAATATAAATAATAATATACAATATACAAATATTAATATATTATTATAATCATATATGTATCCTATAATATATATACATATGATATACTTATCTCATGTCTTTATAAAAAAGTACAATGCTGCTATAGTTTTATATGCAACAAATTTTATTTTAAATTTTTCAAGACTGAAAATAATACGGAAAACCATGCTGAAAACACCACAACAAAGAAACCATGTTCACCATTACTTGGACATTGTAATAAACCGGGACAATGCTGTGAACCGCATGTTTGTTTAACATATTTAGCAAAATGTGTTACAGGAAATTTATCAGGAACAAATAATACAATTAATTCTATAGAAACAGTTGATGAGATTAAAGAAACGTCAATCCCTATCATAACAGAAAATACAACTGGAAACGTACTACCAACATCATGTTCGAAAATTGGAGAATATTGTTTAACCACTACAGATTGTTGCAAACCATTTCTGTGTTTAACTTATGCAGCTAAATGTGTTAATCCAAATTTAAAAGAAACTAAAATTTGAATATTTTATTTTATTTTTTCTTCAAATTGATTCACACATAAATAGTATACATAATATTGTTGTTACTATTTACATTCAGAGGTACATATTTATATATCAGTCAACTTTTTACATTTAAATTAAAATTGTTTATATTGTAATCAATATTAATCCATCATTGTAATCATCAAATCAGCAAATTATTTGAAGAACAATATTTTTTTTTAAATATATGAAAGTAAAACCGTAGAAGAATAAATGTATGTATGTACATTTCATGATCTAATGTTAAAACCCCCTATACATAGCTTAGAAATATTCTCAAATCAAATTTTAAATATCACAACTGCTTACACAAAGACGTTGATCTAATTGTCATATAATGTGCCTAATAATTTTCAACGATAATGATTTTAAATAAAAAACATATTTTTAAAAGAAAAACAAATTCAAATTTATTTTCAATATTTTTTTGTATTATTATCAAACTAATAAAATTAGTCAATTTGAAATTATATCAACAGATTATGAATTATATTTTAATATAATTATTTTTATAATGCTTTGCATTTTTTAATCTTACATTAATATAGGAATACAAATTTACAATTAAATTGATTTAATATATTTGACTAAAAATGACTCTACTTGTAACATTCAACAGGAAAGTAGATATTGGATTTTTTAATTTTATTTTTGTTTTTTATATATGTATTATGTTTTGGTATTTGTAGTTTTAAAAGCCTCCGACTTTTGAAATACTGAAGATTTTGCATTTTCTACAAAATATTTAGAAAAAACAATTTTATAAAATAAACATATAAAAAAGAATATTTTGTAAACAAAAACTTAAAAATTTTATATACATGTATATTTATTGCCTTTTTAAAAGACAATACATAACACATAAAATATATGAACATAAATTACGATACTGTTATTAACATTATTAAAATATTTGCATATTCTACATAAATACATTTTAGATTCATCAGTACTTACCACTTTTACTTTAGAAACCTTGAAAATTCACATTTTTTGTTTTTTTTTTTTTTTTGTTGCCAAGTGTAATGATGCATGGTTAATTTTTTTTATTGCAATTAGTACACAGGTGAATATTAGTTTGGAATGTATTATAACATTTTTTTTTGAAATTGTTTTTTTATCAGATAAAGATGATTCTTCCATATTTGAAGTTTTATTAAAGGTACATCTTGGCGCTGAATTATAATGATTTGATATTTTTATTATTATTGTTTTTTGCATACTTAATTAACACACAATGTGCATGGAATGATTTATTTTTCTTTTTTGATTTGAATTTGACGAAAATACAATGAGTACAATTACTTGTGTCCTGGAAACCTATTTATAATAATTTGTTTTTCCATTTGCGTGTACAAATTCATTTAAAAATATTAATATTTTAAAAAGAAAAAAAAAAACAAATTTTGAAAACAAGAAAAAAAAACAACAAACAATATGATTAGAAAAAGCGTCAAAGATACATTTTTAATATTTTAGAAAAACATTTAAAATCTAAAACTAATTTAATTAGTACTTCTTACATAAATACATCTATTTTAAAATGAATCGGTTATTAATAACAAGTTAAAATTACACTGTTAGTTCTGCTTTTTTACTTTTAAATATACTATTGAATAATATATTATGTAGGTATATAATTACTATGAAAACATTTTTTAGAATTTTAAATACATAGTTTGATTACATTTACATGCTAGACCTGTTCATTTAACACATTATATAAGAATAATTAATTTATACACATTATTTTCCATGAAAGTAAAAAATTTTTGATTAAATTTTTAATTTTTAATATATTTTGATGATGACAGATTATTCCACAAAATACATAAATAGATACGAGAGATGAAAAAGAAATAAAAATTAAAAGAAATATAATTACAAAATGTTATTAAAGAATTTATGAGTACAATGAAAATTTTAAGTGAATGAATTAATATTAGAAAACATATAGCTCATATAAAAATTATTTAAAAAATTATATGACAACAAGCAATAAATATTTATTTTCTTAGTAGGTATAAGGTTAATATTTTAAATTAAACAAAAATTAGTTGTGGTAATATTTCAAAACAATAAAATTTTTACGGAAATAAAAATAACATGCTAAATTAAGCTAAATTAAAGTGTAAAAAATAAGTTAATAATTTTAGTTTCTAAAAAGAAATTAACTAAAATTTTGGTTTATAATTTTAAATTAATTAATTTAATAAATAACATGCTCTTCTAATTGAATATGGGAATATTTCCTAATTTTGCGGTTATCAAAAACACCAAAAATAAAAAAATAGTTTAAAATTGAATATTAGTAGTCATACGTGCGTTTAGGTACACGCCAACTACAACATAAATCCTCAATGCTTTTAGTTTATATTGAACAACAAAGAATACATAATCACACCTTTACGCTGAATAAATATTTTTTAATATAGCATTGAACAATTACTTACTCATTTTTACAGTATCACTAAGTAACTAATAATATGTAATCACTTTAATTAAAATCGTCTTTAATTAAACTTAACTGAAATATATTACCGCTGCATGATAAAGGTATGTGTTACAGGAAAAAAACATGACAATTGTTTCATTTAAATTTACATGAGGTATACATATATTATTTTAACTAAATTAATCGCAAAAATTCGCTTCCTGTTTTTCATTTTTTCTCCTAAATTTTATCACTCAATTTTATGATTAAATGTTTTTTTAGAAAATATTTTAAAAAATATTTTTTTAATATTTGTACTTTTAGCTCATATAGAGAAAGTTGAAATTAACAGCTATGCCGTATTATAACTAGTTTTTGAAACTGTATTAGTAAGATAATTTTCAACTATTTCCAAAAAAAAAAGGCATTTTTCATAAATTTACGATGTAATTTTTGCTACAAATTGTGATAATCTACTTTTTAGTTTAAAATTTTTCCGGTATATTTTCTTTATCAGATATCATTAGAATAATTTTACACAGCTCTAATACACTAAGAGTAAAACAAAAACATATTCTAGAATAAATAAATATTAAACAAACTTTCAATACGTATATATATATATGTATTTAAATATTCTACTTTTTATACTTTGATGTTATATGTACACATATTGTATTTGCAATTTCAATCTATGAAAATTGATCAATAATGAAAACGAAAACATAACAATTTCTTAATTTACCAAAATAAATAACAAATAATGAATTTAAACATTCAAAATAAAAAGAAAAGATGAGCAATAGAAATATTTATTTTTTAAAAATAAATAGACGCATTCAAAAGATAATATTGCAAGAAAGTATTAAATAAAATCGTGTTTTTTCAAAAAGTAATTAAATAGTTGTGAACTTCTATTGTATTTTTAATGTTTAATTACCAATGAAGTTTCTTTTCTGACAAAATTTTAAGAATATTGTTTACAACATCAGTGCTTGAAGCTGTGCCTCCCAAGTCTACAAAAATATTTTGTTAAAATTTCATTTAAAGAATAAAAACAATGAAATATTAAATACATTATTTTCCATTAATTAAATTACCTTTTGTGTGAATTTTGTCGACAATCAATGTATGATAAATGGCTTCCCTTATTACCCTTGCATATACATCATGACCTAAATGGTATAACATATCAACACTAGCATTTAACATTGCTACAGGGTTAGCAATATTTTTTCCTGCAATGGCGGTGCCTGTGTTACGAGTTCCAGGTTCAAAAACTGCATACTAGTAATTAAAAATTTTATTATTACGTACAAAATTTAGTAAAAGTAAAATTTTGTTTTTTTTATTACGTACATGATCACCATAATTTCTACCGGATAATAATCCAGCTCCACCGATGAGCCCACAAATTACATTAGAAACGATAGTACCATATAAATTTGTCAAATTCATAACATCAAACTAAATACAATAAATGTTGAGATATTTTAAAACAATGAGTTTTAGTGTTACCTGATGTGGATTTGATACCAACTGCATGCAAGTGTTATCAATAATCATATTATTATGTTCGATGTTTGGGTAATCTTTGGCGACTTTCTTAGCACATTCGAGGAACAAACCATCAGAGAGTTTCATAATGTTGGCCTTGTGAATTGTTGTTACCTTTTTTCTTCCGTTTGTTTTTGCGAATTCAAAAGCAAAACGTGCAACCCTTTCGGCATTCTCTACAGTACAAATTTTTAAGCTTTCGACGACACCGTGAACACTTTCATGCTCTAACATAGCGTATTCGCCATCAGTATTCTGACGTACTAAAACAATATCAACATTTTGGTGTCTAGATGGAATTCCTGCTACAGATCTGCAATGGATAACATTCACGTATAAATCTAATTCATTTCGTATAGCAACGTTTCTTGAAACTTCATCGGCGGCTTCTGATTTTGTTTCAATATTTCCTTTGAGGGCCACACCGTTTCGCTTAATAGATGTAATAGCGTAATCTAAATCATCATTTCCTTCCACATTGGGATCAATGTCAATAACCTCAAAATCTACAGGAGCTCCAATAAATCTAAACACTTGCCGAACATAATGCATCATTTCGGGTCCAATACCTCCACCTGGAAGCATAGTAACACCATGCCGTCCGCCGTATTGTGCATTTGGAACAGCAATCTACATTTTGGAAATTTATTTAACAAGCTTCAGTTAAAACCAAAAATTTAATATCTTACAATTTTTCGTTGAACTCTTGTTTTTGAATGAGATTTCTCATCAATTTTTTCTTTTGCAACAATTAAAGGGTATCCCTGAAATAATATTCTTAAGACTTAACATTTTTCCAATATTAGATTATGTAATTTTCGAAAATTTATTCTACAAGAAAAACTAAATGCAATATCACTTACTCTGGTTAATGTAGGTGTTTGAATTAATCTTCTTAGCACTAAAGCCATTTTAATAAGTTATATTCTTAAATTTCAAATCACCTACAATAAATACAATAATCAAGAAAAGACGAAAAATAAGCTAACTTATTTCGTCGAAAGTTGGTTAGATGGTTATGTTTTTAATAATTTTTGACATCTGAAGTTGAAGTTTAATGACATTAATAAAACGATAGTCAAGACATATAATCAAAACACTAATGGCCTGTTCAATAGTCAATTATAACAATATTTTTCGAGAAACTAATACCAACGATTCGTTTGCTTTATTACAACAACAGACCATTAGTGACATTTTTTTTTTGATTAAAATTCTAAAGTCTGATCGTCATCAAATAATATTAATGTGATATCCAGGCTTTATCGTAGGTTTAAAATAAAATTTTATCGTATATGTAAACGTATTTTATTTGCCTTTAATAAACTAAAGGTAAATAAAATACGTTTACATATACTAACGTACGTTTTATACAAACGTCAATCATTTTGGTTTGCCAATTGCCGCACCGGCAATGCGTTAATTTATTAGATTACCAGATACTGCCTCAATTTATATCCCTGGCTTTTATATTGTAAAAAAAAATGTTTGGTTTTCATGCTTTATATTGGAAAATTATTTGTTTGTTTGGAAACCGATTTCAATTATGTATACCGATTCAATTTGGATTACCTGTGAATTAAAGCTGACAGCCTTGCTTGAAACAGAATATTAGGTGCCAAACGTTAGGTTGAACAAATTATTTTTAATAAATAAATTTTAAAAATGATAACATGAATAAACGATACATGCAATAATCATAGTCAAAAATTACGTTCCGTATTGGTTATTGAAACTATGCATTATTTTGACAATTTAGAAAAAAGCTTAAAAGCTCAAGTTTCAAAGCGGTTTAGAAACTATTTAAAAACTACTTTTTTACAATATAGAAATCATCCTATATACCGTGATAAATTAATAACAGACGTAAAGATCAAAAAGTGTTAAAATAAATGCCAGTAAAAACCTATGGGATCTTTGCTTTCTTGGTTTTACTTTTTTTGCTCGACTTATACACAAAAAGGAATGTACCTACATATGTACATATCGACAATAATCCGTGACTTCAATAATGCTTTAAAAAAGATTTAAGTACGGTATTAATACGGTATTAGTACCGTCTCAAAGCTTTCAATACCTTTACATTGTAAAAAAAACTACTAAAGCTTTTGATACATTTTGGAAAACAATTTTTACCATATCAATGCAACTTTAACATTTGTTTGAAAATTTTAATTTAAAGTTCTGTGCAAATGTTAATTTTAAAAAAATGAATGTGTTCCCAAATATTGTTGTATTGATTTTAATAGTAGCAATCAATAATTTTTTCCTATCCACGGTCCATTTCTTATTACTGCAAAAATTAAATGTTAAATAAATATTACATTTAATGAATTAAGGTATAACTTACTGCTCTTTTTCCATATAAACATATACGTGAATGTTTTCAAAAAACTTTTTTGTTTATGAATTTGAAATATGACAAATGACACTAAATTTTGTATAACTAACAAACGTTACCACACCACTGGAAAAATAGCATTCTTATGCCTTATTTTGGAAAAAACTTGATAGCTAGCACTTTATTGCTGAAAATATATGCTAGTTTAGTTTATCGCTTATTTCTGGCAACATTTATATGACAAGGTATAAGAAAAGCGTGCTCGATTTTTTCGATACCCGATTTACTTTTATTTTACGTCTCCATTACGTATAAAACGCATTTTGGAAAAGTGTACAATGTCAAGAGCTTTTAGTAAACTTTTTGGAATTTGATACTTTGTACAATTTTACGTCTTAAGCGCATTATTGAAGTCACGGATAATTGAATTTTTGCCATCTTTTGCAAGTTGTGGATATTGTTGATAATGGTTTTTTCTTAGATTGTTGATATTGGTGGTTGATATTTCACGCCAATAATTAAAGCGCAATACATGATGTCTTATATGGGATATTTTTCAATTATGATAACAAACTTATCTCATAATAGATCAGTCTTAATAATTACGTGCGTTAAATTACATACATATATGTATATACATATTATTCGAGTTCAGATACATACATATGTATGTACATATATTTTGAATCAAAAAGCAATATACAAACATGTGTGTAAATTTTTATTAAAGCATTAAAATAATTAATTGCTTTGATAAAAAAGTAATAACAATAAGTATTTCAACTTTTAAAACGTCTTATTTCCAAAATTATTTTTGATTATTTTTATCCCGCGGTTGTGCATGTATCATAACTTTGATAGCTCCATCCCTTCCATATCGAGCAGTATCAAAAGCTTTTGCAGTTTCAGTTATATCAAAATGATGAGTAATTAACTTTTTTACGTCAATTTGCCCAGATGCAACTAATGCTAAGGCAGCTGGATAACTAAAAATAAATAACAATATTAACTCGGTTGTTCTAGAAAATATTTCCAAATATCTATACTCGTTGCAATAACGAAATACACCAAGAATGTCCACTTCTCTCGATAGTGCTTCAATAAGTGGAACTTTGACTTCCGGGGGACCACAACCCACGATAACTGCCTTGCCACCAGATTTTGTAGCTTTAATAGCAATTCTACATGTTGATTCCATGCCACAACAATCAACAGTTTTATCTGGCTGAGATCCCAATATTTCGTGTATTTTAGTTACAGTTTCAGCTTCTGACATGTCTTTAGTAATAAGCAACGTTTTTGCACCAAATTCTTTTGCAACATTTAAACGATTTTGTTCAATGTCGGTAATGATTATCTTTGACGCCCCCATTGATTTCGCAGTAATAAGAGTTACCAAACCAATCGGGCCTGCACCTAATATAAGAACTTCAGAGCCTAAACCAACACCTAGAAAAAACATATGGAAATATTGAAAATTTAATCTTAAAATACAGTCTACAAATTTTATATGAAAATCTTACCAGCTCTTCTGCAAGCATGCACACCTACGGAAAGAGGTTCTAATAACGCCCCTTCTTCCATCGTAACATGTGGTGGCAATTTATAACAAAAATCGGCAGGATGTTTATAGTATCTTCTTAAATTTCCATCATAAGGAGGTGTTGCGCAAAAGACCATATCAGGGCATAAATTATATTTTCCGTTCTATAATTTATAAAATTTCAAAAAAATTTTACAAACACTGATTTTTTATTTCTTACTTTGCAGTGTTCACACATTCTGCAGGGTACACCCGGCTCAATTGCAACTCGATCTCCTACTTTCAAATGCTTAACTTTAGCTCCAGCTTTGGCAACAATGCCAGACGCCTCATGACCAATAATCATTGGTTTCGTAAGAATAAAATCTCCAATTCTGCCCTTAACTAGGTAATGAACATCTGATCCACAGATGCCAACGCAATCCATTTCCAAAAGCACATCTTAAATATTAAGTGATTGTTTTAGAATATTATTCCTCGTACGCTTTAATTTTTTAATTAATTCTTAACAACGTTTTGCCAAAGGTAGAAAAACACTTGGAATTAGATATCAAGTAACCTTCTCGTTATAGAAAATAATGAAAGTTAATTTCATAAAAGTATCTTAAAACAAATTCTTGAGCTTGTGCTAGAAAGGAAGCTGTTTAAAGAGAATTCTATTTTTTTTAACTTTTGTTTCAATCTAGTTATTTTATAAATTAGTTTATTTTTGATTCACAGGATCATCTTACTTATTGCGAAATCGTAATGATAGATGCGGTAACGGTATAAGAATTCAAAATAAAAATATTAGAAAACGTATTTTTCAATAAGCAGTTGAAATTATTAATTAAATATTATTTATTAAATTTACCAAAAAAATTATTCTCACATATACATACCTAATATACTAATAACAACTTACCATGATCGGAAATTTCTGGAATAGAAGTTTGTTCCTGAAAAATAAATAAGGTTCAAAATTTTTTAACGAAGAATTTAAATTTTATTTGAGAGTATTGTTTAATTTCTAATGCGTATATTTAGTATATAATGTGTATGTCATTAATGATACATATAACAGGTCTGTCCAAAATAAAATTCTCCGGTAAATTTTTTATACATAATATTTTTTTCTCCTTAAAAAAAATTATTAATAACTTACATATTTCTCTCAACTTTATGCTATAGCATTTTTATTTTGAACAGATTTTGAACTTGAACAGAACTATAAGCCCCTAGGTACTTCTACACCTGCCAAAATCTATTTTTACTAGGGGACCCTAAGTTTTCCTTATAAACAACAGTATCTGTCGTAGTCTGTTTTTGTTACAGCACTGCACTACGCAGTCTGGTTTTGACTACTAATTACTACTTTCTTAGTTCAATAATAAAATGCTTGAATTAAAATTTTATGATAATGCTTAAATAAAAAGTATTTTCAATAAACGGTACTACTATAAACAAAAACAACCACATTCAATAAACATGTAAACTTCCTTTACATTATAGTGATAACGATTGTATACTTGTAACGATACAGATAAGCAAGTCAGAGCAAATGTTATAAGCAAATCTTTGGCATGACATTAAAATACTAAATGATATAATGCATAAATATATATGTATATACCTATGTGGACATGCCTATCATGCAATTATGTAGAGATATTGCAATAAATAACGTCATTAATAATAATGAGTGATTTTTTAAGCGCTTGGTTTTTAAAATTAAACTACAAATATTTACTTAATTTTTATTTGAATAGTTCAATGGCTACAATTTACTTTTTAAGTTTAATTTCATGTAAATATTGTTTACTGATGATATACACCGAATGCAATCTCGTCCTTGTTCAATTTCTTCAAGGTGAAACGGCAAATGAAACAGAACGCTCGAAGAAGTCAAATGGAAAATGCGAAAAACCAGATAGGAAAAAATTCTATCAGTATGTTTAAGAACATATTTAAAAAAAATATTGTTAAAAATGTTTTTGATAAAAATTTAAAACTTGAGGATTGAACCATCTTGTGTGGTTTTGTCCAATTTTTAAGAAGTTTTTAATAAGTAGCATTTAAAATTTAGAGAACTCTTACAAAATACACCCACCTTCCTAAACATTTAGTTTTTTTTTGGTAAAATTAAATATGCTTGTTCCAAATCGCATTTTGAATACAAAATCGTTTTACAAGACACGGATTTTATTTCTGAATTTTTGAAGTTTATTTACATTTATAATTTGAGTGACTTACATCACCAAAATCTTCTATATCAAAACTAAATTTACAAATATATACGAATTAGATGCCTGCATAGACGTTACATTAAATAGTGATACTTTCGTTGCAATAGATAATTTTCCCTCACATTTATTTTCATAAGATTCATTTTACAAAATTTGAAAATTCCATATTCAATTTAAAATTTTCCAGTGAGTGAGTATTCACGCACATATTTATTTGAATGTTTTGTAAAATTCTATTTTTAAATTTATAATAAAGTGATCACACGTTGAAAAAACACAATTTTTTCATTTTTTTATTTAAAAAAAAATCCAAATAAAACAAAAAAAAGTCACTTTGAACTTCTGAGAAGGTCAATTTTACATTTGTTTATTTTATTTACTTATCTCTTTAATTTTCTGTTTTATTATTGAAAAGTTGCATTTTGTTTTAGTTAAATATTTTTTAGAGAAAGTATATTATTATGTAGCTTAATTTTAATTGATATTTTAAAAAGAGAGTAGGAATGCATACATACATATGTAAGCCCGCATATTAAAATTATATATTGAAAATTTTGCAGAAGTTCTAATAAACTACAAGCCTATTTTAAGTAGTCCAAATCTTCAGCAAAATAATTAGAATGTATGTATGTATATCTTTTAGATGTGACTATTACTAACTGGTACTAGAATTACCGTTATCTACAGATATAGTTATATAGGTATGTAGTTAGAAAAAAGTCACATTTAGTCATGTATAGATAGGTTACAGGTTGACAGGGTCCAAGTCCCTGCAGCCACAAAGACTTATTATTATAAATTGAGAAGGTAAACATAAAATTATTTCACAAATAATAAAACGATATTTATCAAATTATAACTACATAAGTATTTATTCTTACCAATCTTAAGTCTTCGATTCCATATAATACTGCAGTTAGATTATCTTGTGCCATTTTTTTATAACTTTTCTCCTCTAGTAAAAATAAAAAAAAGTATTACAATTTCTTTTTTCCTCTTATTTCGAGACAAAATGAATAAAAGCCGACAGTTAAATGAGAACTGAAATTTTCTTTTTCATGTCACATTTATCTACCAATAATTTGCTTCAACAGTCAGCTTTCCATAACAAAATAATTTTAATGCTTTTAAAGCTATTATTTCATTTCACCGGAGCTTTTAAAACATTTCTGTTTTCCTACAATTTTAATTTTACAAATACGAAATAATAATAAAAAACATCTTATTCAATATTTGAGCAAATAGATAGGTAAGAAAAAAAATAATTATACATACTATTATGTGGTTAGAATGGTACATATTATGTATGTATTTTGGTTAAGTATGTATGTAGGTACAGTAAAACACGGTTAAGTGGAAATCGATCAGCCAAGAAAATTTTGTCCACTAAAGCGTGTTTTCCACTTATACGAATTCGACCTAAAAAATTACCTCCAATGTCAAAGAATTGAATTTATTAAAAACTGGTTCTAAACTTTAATTTTTGAACACTCAAAATTTGACAATGACAGAAACTAAAATATTTTGTGTAGCTACATAGTGTTGCTTTTCTTATTTTGTAGTTGAGAGTGTAGTTTTTCATTTTTGACATTTATGCTTAATAAAAACAGGGATGTGCAGTTAACCGAATAAATTTACATATTAAGTATTACATGAGGGAAAAAATATATGTGCAGATAAGCGTGTTGTGCACTTATCCGAATTCCACTTAAACGAATTTTTTTATATGAAAAAATCGAAAAAAGTACAAGCCACGAAAATTTGATGCAATTAAGCGTGAAATCCACTTAAGCGTGATCCACTTAACCGTGTTTTACTGTACACAATTTAGGTATTAAGTAGCAGCATTTGGAAGGTAATTATTTGTTTGTGATTTTTTTTTACAACTTGTTTATAAATTAACTTTTTGTGAGCTCTCCTACACTGTATTTATAAATCTGTAGGAATATAGAAAAATATTATTAAAATGCAAAATATATTAAAAAAAAGTCTACTAGGCAGGTATAGCACCTACTTTTTATGTAAGTTACAAATATTCAAAAACAAAATAGTCTGGCATTAAGAGCCAACTTACACTTTTAGGCTAATGAGCTCTAAAAATGTAGACTTACTGATTTTTTTTAAATTTTGCAAGTATCGATTTTATTTGGTTAGCTGATTTTATTATTAATTTGTGTTCACTTGTAGTGCATAAATTAAACTTGTTTTTTATTTATTATAGAGAATGTTTCATATAATTTTTGCTCATGAACTTTACCTAAAACAGGAATGGTTTTCCAATAATTGATTTTTCTTTTACTATTGAAAATGCGTGTCTCTAAATGTTTTAGATTAAGTTTATTTAAATCTAAACTCTTTAAAGTAATTAATTTGTTTGAATAAAAAAATTTCCTTAAATTAAACATTCTTCAATTTTGAAAGCCTTAATGAAAAAATTTCACCACTGCAAATAAATAATAAACAATAAATGAACAAACGCCTGAATAAAGAGCTTTCATACATTTTCAATCTATCTTCCATAACATACATTACCTTCTGTTCCCTGACCCCTCTCAATGGTTTTGTAATTTTGTTAATGTTTGGATTGGAAAAAGTCTGTTCAATCTTCTAAATTTTTTTTCTTTGTATGCTTAGATGTTGTCAAATCACTATCAATAATTTGATTTGACTACAAATATGTTAAAAATTCTAAAAGATTTATATTATTAAGGAACAATTTTGTAACTTAAAAATTTAGTGCTTAACATTAAGTTGAAAACAAAATAAGAGCGATTTTCCGGGGCGAAATGTCGGAATTCATATAGCATACACATATTTAAATGGAAATTTAGTGAATTTATAGTGAACCATTATAATTTCGCCGCCAACGGTGAAATTATCGAAATATTTTGCCGTTAGTGTTTTTTTCCCTGAAAAACCGTTCCCCGCTTTGGTTCTTTTTTTATAATTAATAAAACCTGTTTCGTAAGCTATCAACTATCAAAACTTTTTGATTGAAAAAAACTTAGACTTTGTCTGATAGCAAATAATAAAAATTACATACTCTATTCTCATATTCTCATCATATTCACGGTCAGAGATTTTAAAAGTAAAATGGCGACAATTAATTTTTTTGAAAGATTTGAACAGCGATCAGTTGATTTTCATCTTGGCTACTAATATTGTAAGGACTGTTTACATATACGTTACGTATCAAACTAAAATTTTCTGATAAAGCTAAGAAGTACCTAAAAATTCAATACTTTTGTTTGCTATTCATAACGAATTACGTATCAAACAAAAATCAGCTGATCAATTGATTTGTTGTCAAATTTTTTGAAATAATTGTAGGTAATTTGCGTATACATGATATAAAAAAATATTTCACAAACTAAATTTTGCGACAGAAACAGAACCTAAATATATAATATAAGAAAACAATGTTGAAAAGCACAGGAGCATTGCTATTAAATTCGATTTTCACATTTAGAGAAATGAAAAAGTACTACCACACATTTTTCCGAATCATGGAAATCATTTCACGAAATTCGAATTATATAGTAGGTCCCCAGAACTTCTTTAAAAAGAACATAAAAATCCTTAATTTCCACAGTTAATTACATTTTTGATACACATATACATATATTCCAAAGTGTACTAAATATACTCATACATATTTGAAATATAATTTCGTTCCATCATATTTGTTACACTGGTTGCAATATTTTGTTTTTTCTTACGCATTGAAATCTAATTGCAATCTATCTCTTAAAATTTTGGAAATTTGTTTAACATTTAAGTAGAATTAACAAAAAAAAACTAACGGTTTTGGGAAAGTGAAAACACTTATTGTAGATATAGTATAGCTATCTACTTCTTTAATGACACTTTTTCTCTCAATTCAACGGTACTCCAAAGTTAAAGAAAATTCACATTCGACAATTAGGCAGAGCTTTTCAGTTCTAACTTTTAACCTTTTTTTATAAAGAAAAAAATCATTTTGTATATGTACATGTATTACATATTTAATGGTATATGCGGGTGTTCATATCTTATATATTTGTTTATATTTACATGCAAGAAAGACATTTAGTTTAAACATTTAAATATTTTCAAAATTCCCAACCTTGATATTCTTTAACAATATCTTTATTCTCTTTTCTGTGGCGATGTACCGCACTTGCTTCCCCTTTAGCTACACATTTCTTACGTAATTCAATTTTCTCCTTAGCACCCATATTTTTTTTAATGCGGTCTTTGATGACACTTGGTGCTATTGTACTTGCTGTTGTTGAGTAAGACCTTTGACTTCGAACATCCGAAAGCAATTTTTCGACCATTTTTAGACGATGAAGTCTTGAATTGGGTTCTATATTACTCTCTTCAGTTTTTATATCAGTGCTGAAAACGCGATCGTTTAGATCGTTTGAGGTAGAAACTTCTTCATTTACATTTTTAAAATCAGAAACAAGTGTACTTTCTAGTTCTATTTGACTTGACTCTGCTAAACTATCCCTTTCAGCATTTCGTTCCATCAAATTATCCTCAATAGTCATTTTGCTTAAATATTCATTACATGATTCTATATACCTTCTTATTGCATCGCTTGATTTGGTTTGTTGAGAAAATGTTACTTCATTGTCTAATTGATTTCTGTATTCATTTAATTGCTCTTCAGTAATCGAACCGTCTTTTTCGTTATTTGAGATTTTTTCATCTGAATCATCTTCATCGTCCGAATCTGCTACTCCATATTCCTAAAAAATTGTGTTAAATTTTAATTATTTGTGTTAAATTTTAATATGTGAAAATATTTGCTTACTTTTAACAGATCTTTTGCCATTTCTTTGGTCAAACCTGTACAACGGACTTCAGCATCAAGATCATCATCTCTCTGCAAATCTGAAAATTTGGGGTAATCTTCACTCTCGTAATTGAACTTACGGCGAAATAGTTCTCGCACACAATTTACATCTCTATTGAAATAGCTTAAAAAGAGCAGATTTATATAAAAATATTTTGGGGTTAGCAGTTAAAAATATGCTTACAATTCAGCGTTTGGATGAGAAACAGACATCATTTGTGGAAAATCAATTAAAATAGCTTTTCCGTCTTCAGTAATCATTAAATTAAATTCATTAAAATCACCATGAATAACGCCGCAATTTCCTAGTCTTACAACCAAATTCATCAATTCATCATAAAGTTCGGGGACGTTACCAAGTTCATAAACTTGAGTTCTAATTAAAAGAAAAATTGTATACAGGTTTGTGTTACCATTTTTATGTATACGCACTTACAAAGGGAAACCGTTTACCAATTCCATTATTACACAGTGTCTATTGAAATCTATAGGCTTCGGAACTGGGAAGCCTCTTTGATGGAGTGCTGTCATATAAGCAAATTCCCTAGTAGCCGATATTCTCGATAAATAGATCCATGAAGCTTTATGTCTTTTGCCATGGTAATCTCTTTTTGATTTAATATTGCGGAAACATGTTCTACCTAGTCGATGAAGTTTTAAACATAACATAGTACCATCATCGTCAGCCACAGTATAAATATTAGACTCTTTGCCGACTCCAATTTGGTTGCCAAATGAGGTTACAGATCCTCGCAAAGTTAAAGAGTTTAATGCCAAATAATCATAGCCTGAATTTGTTAAACGGTATCCATCATCTAAAAATAAATATTTTTATGTAAATGTTTTTAATTAAAAATTTTTTGCTAACATTTTTTTCCACGTTCGTAGCTCAATAGCTTCTGCTTGCATAATTCCTTCATAATTTTATGAGCACCACCCGATTTTAGATTTGCTATGGCTGCTGCTAAAGGCCCTGGAACAAGCTCGTGATTTTTCATACCCATTTCAACTGCGGTTAAAACTCGAAAATCTTCAGCAGATAAATAACGAAGCAACGAAACATTTAATTTTCCCATGTTTAATTTGTAGATTAAATTTTAGCTTAAAAGAATATTTTGTTTCTCAAAACAATTGTAAAACTTTTCCATGTAGAAGAACGAGAACGTGTTTTGAAAAAAACATGAAATGTCAAAAATTCTGGTTTTTGGCACTTTATGCTTTTGACATTTGACATACATAAAACTAATGTATCAGATTTTATCTAGGGCAATGCTGCCATTTTGAATTTTTCATGGATGGGAATTTAAATCTGAAGAAAGGAAAATTGTTCTTTCAAAGTGTGTTTCAAAGTGTGCGATAAAAAAGGTTTTGGAAAATGTTTAAGCATGTACATAAAGTAGAAATAAATAATGCAGAAACATTAGACAGAAATAAATTTTAACTCAGTTATCTTTTAAAAAAATTATAAAGTTTGTCTCTCGAACAAATATACAAACAAATGTTTCTTCACCAAAAATAGCTTTCTCAACGACATAAAAATTCAAAATTATTTATTTATTTAAATTCCGATATTTGACAATCAGCTGATTTTTGATTTGGTTTTTTTCTAGAGCTGAAAAGGCTATCCCCAATATGAAAAAAATTACACAAACCATGAAATAGGTTATTTTGCTTAATACAAAATTTATTCGATGGTTTGAAACGATATCACATAATTTGTTTCTTTGAAAAATATTAGTCTTTGAGAATGAACTAAGATAATTTGATATAAAAATAGCTGAGTTGTTTTTTAAATAATTTTTTAATATTTTTATGTCTCCGGAAAGTACTTGTTTTTTAAATATCAGTAAACTATCCTAACCTTTTAAAATATCGGCAATAATCAAAATAACGAAATGCATTATTGAAATAAACATTGTTGTCCTACTTACTATGTTACATCTAAAATTTCAATGGCAGCACTAATTTTCATCAAACACATAACTGTATAACCGTTTAATGCATGTTTATGGAAATGACATTTATTTTGTAAACAAACAAAAATTTGATTTGAATGTTATGTCAAATAAAACAGTAAGTTTTGCCTTTTCTTTTTTGAGAAAAGGAATGCGAAAGGTAAATTCCCGTTTAATTTTTAAAATTAAGTGATCAAATTCATGATAAAAATATTTAATAAGCGTTCATATTGCAGAACTTAAGTACAATGTCAGATTCTTATCCAACTAATTTAGCCGGATTTGGTTATGGATTTAATGAAGGTAAAAAAGTATATTAATTCTTAAGTATTGCAAATTATTTGTAGAAACTTAATATTTGATTAAAGATGGAGAATTAAAGCAATTAGACAAAGAAAGTGGTAAGCTTACCGATAAAGGATTTGAATTCGTGGATCAAGATCATTATGAGGCGTTAGGAGAAGTAAATTACTTAGATAGTTTATTCGATAGATTTTCGATAAACTTACAAATGTACATATCTTTTTAGGTAATTACCGAGCATGTTTACAATTTACTTGAAGAAAACGGTATGCATAAAGTGTTTATAAATGACGATGTTCCTAAAGAGCAATCTCCATTTATTTTTATGAGTAAAAAGGAGCTTGATCATCCCAAAAAATTACTTGTTTTAATTCATGGTAGTGGTGTGGTAAGGGCTGGGCAATGGGCTCGAAGGTAATAAATGAAAAATGTGAAAAAAGCGAAAATCTAGTCATTTTAAGTAGTAATACTATGTTAAAACTTATGTAACATAACAGTTGCCTCAGAAACGTCTTGTAATATTTAATGTATTGTTCTATAGTCTCATAATAAATCAATCATTGTCTCATGGAACTCAAATACCTTATCTGGAAAAGGCACGTGAATTGAATTATGATGTTCTTATCGCAAATACAAATGACAATTACCGATCTATTAACGGGGTGGAAAGACAAATCAAAGGTCATGGATCGCCAGAAGAACATGGATATTCAATTTGGGAGAAGTATGTAATAGCATCCAATCCTGAATCTGTGGGAATTGTAGCGCATAGCTATGGTGGCGTAGTTACATTACGTTTAGTAAGCATTATATCAGCTTAATAAATTTATATGTATTAGTTTTTGGTTACAATAAATTTTAACATTTCAGGCAAAAAAGTATCCAAAATTCTTTAAAGAAAAAGTGTTCGCCGTTGGTTTAACTGATTCCGTACACTCACGCACGTCATCACAGGATCCTGACGTTTTCGCTCATTTGAAAAAAATTGGCCGAAACTGGGTAACTTCAAATAAACCATTAAACCAGTGTATTTCAGAATCTAGTAATGATATTCCACAATATTCGGCTGGACATGTGAAACATGAATGGACTTCGTATTCTTGTATAACAGCTTTATTTGATTTCTTCGAAGAAAAATATAATGAATTCCTTACAAAAAAGTAGTAATAACTTTTCTATACGGCTTATACACATGTAAAATACAAAGAAAATATGATAAATAAAGTTGTTATTATATAATCTTAACATTACATGTTAATACAAATGTTTCCGGTTAGATGCAACTATGTGTTGAAATTAAGAAAAAAGTTATAGTGTTCTTGCTTTGTAAGGCTAGTTGATGATGAAAATTTGCACTGTTCGGGCCGTATATGTGTTAAAATCTGCTACTGCAAATATCGGGTATGTATTTCTACAAATATATTGTCACAGCAGATTACAGACATTTCAAAGCTATAAGCTCATGTTTTACAAACAAGTGAAAACTTCTAATTTAAATGGTTTACAAAAAATTTATAAACTAAAAAAAACTAAAAAAGCCTGTAGCTATGATCTATGTGTTTCACGAATTCCATTTTCATTTATGACTTGCATTCTACGAGTACACATGTATGAACTAATATCTTAAATCTTTCACCACCATTTTTTTACATATTCTCATTTATGTTCGCTCTTCCATATTTTTTTTTATATTTTATATATATAAAATGAATATATGTATGTATGTATAACTTATCTACATATCAAACTAAACTAGAATCAGAAATTTTTGTTTACAACATATTTTTTTAGATTTTTTGCTATGTTAAATTGTTTTGGTACATTTATTTATTTCGCTGTTCGGAGATTTATTTCAGCATTTTAAATTAATTATTTTGAATTAAGTGAAGTAAAATAATAAATCTTTAAAGTTGCAGAATAATGATTTAAAATAATTAACAGCTGAATTGTGTTACAATACAGTTTTACTGCAATTTTAAAATTAGGGAACGTGTTTTATAAAAACCATTTAATTATCTACATAAATTCCATATCACATTTCTCTCATGAAGCGTGTTAAAGCTATTCATTTTACAGTATGTATCAGATTTATTGATTTGTAATCTAAATACCTACTAAAATTTTTAGTTCAAATCCGAAAGATATTTTCGGGATTTCCCTGAATTGATTTTTTTATTTGTCGCAAACAATTTAGTTGTGTATACCTATGTTATATGTATACATATGAGCGTATGTATGTATGCATGTAATTATATTGAGTATATGCACATCTACATAAACAATATAGACAGATTCTTCATTTTTGTATCTTATCTTAAAATAAAATTTATATTTTAAGGCATTCAAGAAAAACAAAAATGTTAAAATAAATACATAAGTATGTAGTGCCTATCTTTAAAAAATAAAATGGGAGTGACTTTTCATATTTCAGAGAAATTTCTAAACTATTAATAAAAAGCATACACTTTCTGGAGGGGTTAATAAATGGAAAAAAATTCTAAATATATTTATGTTGAATAAATATTAACTTTTATAATGTAAATAGGTGAATCCAATTTTTATACATAATTTTATATGTATAGCTGCTTACAAAGATTACCAGATCACAAACTGCAATGTAATGGGTATACACTTAGGGCTAAGGTTAGTACCTTATACATAAAACGGTATAAGTACCTACAGATACAGAGCTTAATAGCAGTTTTAATTTGTATAAGAGCAAATAACGTATCTTACAACTGGAAAGTGTGCGCAAAATCGAAATGTATGTACATACTTGTACATTATTTTCTCTATTGAGCTTTTTTTATATATATTTAAATGTACATAATCTATATATTTACGTTGCTCGTGTATACATGTCTACATAAAAATTACAATATGGTTGTAAAGCGTATTATACATACAACGTGCACATGTGTGCGAGTTTTTCATAAAGTTACAACAAGACTAGTTAGCAGCTACTGGTGGTAATAATTTTTTTTTATTATTATTTTGTCTCCTGCTTTTTATATACATACAAGACTTTTAATTTCCTTCAGTTTCAACTCATGCCCTTTTCCATCGTTAGGCCAAATGTGCAGTGACATCTCTCCCGTCAGGGCGTGGTACTTATGACTGGGCACGAACTTTTGTTCTATGCTATTTTACATACCTATATGTAGGTATTTATAAAAATGGAACAAAAAAGTTGGTTACACAAAAACAAAAATAAGTAATAAAAGAAAACTGAGAAGTAATAAGAATTTGAAAGAAAAAAAAAGAAAAATAAGTTAAAATTTCATGAATAGAAATGGTTGGAAAATGTACATAAATCTTATGCAGTATGTATGTATATGAAAAAAGTCCTTAATAAAGGAAAATGATATTTTATTCTATACTTTAAATTTTTGAAGATAGTTACAATTAGATATAATTTAGGTATGTATACCTAATATGTATATTGTTGATATGATACTTTTTTATTATATGTAGATATAATGGATGTTATACATGAATGAAGCTATATGTATATACATACATAGGTAAAGGTTTCAACTTTAATATTTTAAAATTTAGAAAAATGTATGCAATGTTTTTCTTTAACACAAATAAGAATATATTTAAGTAAAAGTTGAAAAGAATTTTTTGAACAAAATAAATGTTTTACCTCTTTTAAAAATAACAAAAGTGCGCCTATCAAATATTTTAGAGATTTAGAAATAATAAAGAGCCATTTCAAAAAATAATAACTTTACTCAATCTTATCAGAGGATTCAAAATAGATTATTATGATAAAATAACAAACATAAGTACATAGTTTCATGATAACGTAATTAAGAATATATTTTTGTAGAATATTTTGTAGAATATTATTTACACCTAATATTATATTCGTACTAATATTATATTCATACTAATTGAATTCAATTATAAATAAAAATATTGAAAAATTCAAATTATAATTATAAAGTTAAACAACTTTAAGTTTGTAATTTTTTTGAGCTTCCATTAAATTCTAATATTTCCATTCGAAAACTACTTATACATGATGTCTTAGAGTAAAAGCAGAAATTTTTTTATTTAACTAACAAAAATTTCATATCCTAATTTAGAATCTTTTTAATAACACTAAAATTAGTGGATGAACTAAATCGGAATTTATGTTCTAATGATATATGCACCATTTTATTTTATAGGAAGGAAAAATTACTTTATCTGTTAGTTTTAACATTTAACACTATATATTACTAAATTGACTATTTAACTGTTTAATGGGTTAATACGTATTCAACATACATACTTTCATATTTTATTTAATTGAAATCTGTAATTTTTTTTAAATATAAGAATATGGTAACCTTCAAAATATATAACTATAGTGATATTTTGATCAGTTTAAAATAAAATTTATTTTATTTTAATTTTTTTTTCCAAACCATACCATATTATCTATTGTAATTAAGTAATTAGTTAAAACAGATAAATTTTGTATTTTATATAATTTTGTATATAATATATAATTTGTATATATGAAGGTACATGTAAAATATAATAAAAATACATTTAATATAAGGATTAATTGAACTATGAACTACTGAACAGTAAATAAAATCCTTAATTTAAAATATTCAACATTAAGCATATTTGTGGTCATTAAATAATTAAAAACACAAAAAAAAAACAGCACATTTTTTCAATATGACTATAATTTTGAAACAAGTGTATGCATACATACTTGTTAAAACCAAAATAAGCATTGTATATATACATATAATGTATTATACATTTTATATATATAATTATATCTATATGGATCTCTATTTAAATAAAGAAGCTGGAAATTATGTCTGGACATCTTTATAATTTATCATTTGTCCATTGAAAAATAAAACCAAAAATTAACATTTTAATATTTTGTTCTAATATTTATGTACAGTGTACATGTATATGTATATTCAGTGCTCTATAAAATATAAAATTTAAATGTTTACATAAATATATTCCATATTACGTACGTACAAAGAACATTTAATTTTCATTTTATTCATAGTAAAAAGGATATTTGATAAATGCAGGACAATATAATTTTTTTTATATATGTTTGGTTAATTTTGGGTGTGTACATATTTGTATGTAGATGTAATTAATTAAAAACAACACTGACCCTTAATACTTATATAATTTTCTGCAATACTTATTGTACACATATATATACGAGTATACATGAATACCTTAAAGATTTAAGTATTCTGATAAATTTTATTTATAAAAAGGATTTATTTATTTACGTTTACATAATATTATAATAGGATATGGCAAAAAAGGGTTTCCACGTTTATTTGGTTAAGTAATGTAGATATAAAATTACACAAGTCGTTAATTAAATAAAATGATTCCGATTTGAAGTGTAAAATATTTTATAATTTAATTTTCAAGCGAAATTCAAAAATAAAAGATAATTTGAAATGCACAGGTATATATTGTGAATTTAATTCATATTTTGGACTAATATATAACTTTGGAAATATTTTTAGCAAACGGAACGACTAAATAAATTGGTTTAATTAAAAATCGGTTTGAATTAATAGTTTTTAATAGCTAAAAATTTGTATTTTAGTAATGGATAACAAAGTTAATTAAATACTTTAATAATTTGCCTAATAAATCGTTAATCTACAAATAACGTTTTCAGATAATACATATAATCAAATATTTTTTCAATTCATTTTTCTTCATGTATATACTCTGGGAATTCAGTTCGTAAAGTACTCGTATATAAATAATATAAGAAAACGTGCGTTAAATTTTAGGAATAAAACAGAATCAATAAATTCTCTTATACTATACCTGACATTCCAACAAAGGAAATCACTTTAGAGACTGCCATCAGTTAATAATCAAATCATTTTAAATTTTCAACAATTTCTTTTTTCAACTTTTTTTTTGGAGACTACTCCCTTTTTGTAAGATTTATCATTAAATATTCTCAATTTGCATTTCAATTCGAAACAAAAATGTAAAAAATTTGTCGTAATTTTTTTTTTTAAATTTGTAATCAAACCACTTGCACGGATTTGGTTTTTTTTTAATATTGTGCTGATATTTACATGTAGACAGTTACCTTTGTTCAATATTCTTATTTTTAAAAAAAAAAATTATGTAAACGTGTAATAATTTTAAAATATGAGTTTGTTTAACGAGTTGATGATTTTCAAAGCATTTATATACCAGATTATCTTATATTCTGTGTAATGTATATGAAC